TTTAATTGAATTTACAATAGCATTCCACATGTCAGATGTCCAATATTTACAAAGAACAATGCAGAAATCAGGATAATGAAGCAATATTTTAAAAAATGCTTAGAAAACAAGTATGAACAAAGGATTTTATATAACTCAAGTCCTTCAAGTTTCAGGTCTATAGAAAAAGCTATTTTTAACATGAAGAACTCAGAGAATATTGTTTTCATAAGCTATTCCTGATGATTCTATTAGAAGACCAACTTCATCTGACCACAAGAATGAGGAAACTTCAGCCACAAGACTAGTGGTAAGCAGTGAATATATTTTTAATATACTTCTTGTGAGTAAATAAATACATATATTTGGTGAATATGCATTTATATATTAACATATAATGCATATAATAAATATCCTATCTAATAATAGACAAACATGGTAATTAACCGTACTCCGACACGCTTCCCATTGGCTAATCAGGGCGATATGCAAATTAACTGCCATCCAAGATGGCGGCCGGCAGCCAGGCAGCTGAAGCAAACAGGAGGCTTGCTTGCTCCAGTGAAGGAGGAAGCCAACGTTCCCTGCCTGCCACTGCCGGCCTCTGAGCTGCAGTCTAAGAAACAATGTTGCAATTATAGAAGTTAAACAAAACCCAGAAACCTGCTTTCAGCCAGCCGGGCTTCAGCCAGCAGGATCACAACAGTGTTACAATTATAGAACAAACCCAGATCCCTGCTTTCAGCAGCCGAGGTCTCAAAGCTGCAGCCAGGCCTCTGAGCTAAAGCCAGCTCTCAGCTCCAGTGACAGCCATAGAAGGTAAATAAATCCCAGAATAAAAATTTAAAAAAGAAAAAAAGGAGAAGTTGGGAGCTTCAGTCGCCTGCCAGCCTGAAAACGTCCCTCAGCCCCTCACCCAGACTGGCCAGGCACCCCAGTGGGGACCCCCACCCTGAAGCAACAAGATGGTGGCTAATTTGCATACTGAAGGCAGGCGGCAGTAGGCAAGGCTGTCCGTGGTCCAGGACCCGGATCTGTGACCCTGCTGGGTGGGGGGCAGCGCTTGAGGCTGTCCGCGGTCTGGGACCCGGATCCATGACCTGGCGGGCAGGGGCAGCACTTGAGGCTCTCCACGGGACCAAGACATGGATCTGTGACCCTGTCGGGCGGGGGGCAGTGCTTGAGCCTGTCCGCGGTCCCAGGACCCGGATCCGTGACCCTTCCCGGCGGGGCAGCAGGTTGCACAGGGGCGGATTGGCCGGGGTTGGGCAGGGCAGGACACCTGGCTTCCACCCAGCCTCAGTCACTCTGGGCAGGTGAGCAGCGCAGAGAGCCTCTGGACAGGGGAGGCAGGCCTGTGGAGGGCAGCCTGTACTCCCCACATGGCGGTGGTGACAGCTGTGAGTGTGCCAAGCGGAGCCTGCAGTCTGAGCTGAAGTAGCGCCTGCAGGCCATCAGCGCCCAGGAGTGGCTGCGCAAGATCCGCCTCCTGGCCCAGAAGGTGCAGGATCGCAAGGACAGCCACCGTGGCGGGACAGACTGACGTCCTCCTGGTCGCACCACGGGGGTTTGCAGATCTGCAAAGCCAGAGGCCTCTGGTGTGCACATCCCCCCCCTTGGCGTGCGAACATCCCCCAGTACACTGTCACCCTCCCGCGCCTGCAACAGTTGCAAACCAAGGTGTGCACAAGTTCCCCCCACCTCTCCACTGCACTTCCATCAACCCAGCATGCCTAACACCCCCACAGGATGTGCACACATCCCCTCTGATGTGCTCACGTTCTTTGGAGAGTGTCTGGGTGCTCTGGGTGCTGAGGGTGGGCGCCTGTGAGATGACAGTGAGAGGGCGGAGTGGTGATGCCCTGTTCCCACGGAGGCCAGTGCAGCTACGAGATCACCTCTAGGGGTTTAATGCAGGTGCTGAGGCGGGAGCAGATGCAGACAGACACACCTGGTGGGCATGGGAGGCCCTCGCTGAGGTGCCTTCGGTCAGCGTTCAAGATCAAGAACCCAGAGGCAGAGAGGAATTCCGTCCTCTCAGTGAAACAGTGGGATAGTCGGGGTGACTGTAGAGGAGGAATGTGCACTTTGGGTGCTAGCACCCATGAGTGAAGGCTGCCCTGACTGAGCCTCGCTTGCTTGGGGCCTAGCGCACTCCAGCCGGGCAGCGGATGACAGGACGTGCTTTTCCGAATTAATGAGAGAAAACGTTGATTCGCCTGCTGCCCACGAAGGTGGAAAGTGAAGTGGGGAGACATGTGGGGAGTGAGCGAGGTTCCCTGTCTGGGGGTTCCAAATCTGCTGTTGGTTTTTTTCACCGCTGACTAGAGATATACAGGGTGTCCCCCCAAAATGTATACACACTTTGAATACCTACTAATTCTAATGGTTTTAAGCATAAGAAAGAAACAACAATGGAGCTGTTATCTGTTAAAAGTGTGGGCACAAACAGGTAGTTGGACATTCCCTGAGGGGTCTCAGATTGGAGAGGGTGAAAGCCAGCCTGAGGGGCCCTTCCCCCACCCCCACCCCAGTGCACGAATTTCATGCACGGAGCTACTAGTATTTAAATAATAAATAATAAAGCTAGGCATCAGAGTGGGAGACTAACATGTAAATGTTACATTCTTTAACAAAGTAGAACAAAACATAAAGTGAAAGAGGGAAGGAAAAAAGAAAAGAACAATAATCTCATAAACTCTTTATGGTAGCAATTTTCAACCTGTGTACTGGGGGAAGGGGTCAGGCGCTGGAATCAAAGGCTATGTAAATTATGTATGTTACCACCACAGTTCCTGTATTCCTGGTACCTGGTAATCCAACAAGTGCCTAGGGTTGAAAAAGAAGAAGAAAAACAAAAAAACCGGTAACACTGAAAATAAATTTATCAAAGAGTTATTTTAGTGATTTAGTACTTATTGCTGGGTGGTGGAATCATTCTGGATTTTATTCTTAACATATCTCTGCATTTTCAAATTATCTATTATAAGCAATTATAACTTTCTGATTTTTACAAATTATGGTTGAAAAAAATTGACAATAAATATTAAAACCATTTGCTAAGAATCCTAATAATGTAACAGAAATGCTAGGATACTCAGACAATAGATTTGGCCACAATCAAAATTACTAAGTTTCTCCATTTCTAATTGTGTAAGACCAATTCCTATGGTTTATTCCTTGCATCCATGGCTGGCAAAATTGCAAACTGGTATCATCTTTTGGAAATTAATTGGCAATATGTACCTTTAAAATATCTAACTTATTTTAAAAGGTTTATGCCCTTTACCCCAGTCCTGTATTCAACAATTATTTTGAGGAGTAATCTAAAAAAAGAAAACAACATACAGTAAGTTTATTGTCGAAGCTTATGTTCAATAAAGAAAGTTGGTGAAATTAAAGGAAGAATGGTTATAATTCAGTTATTCAAAGGAATATTATTTCATCATTTATAACGAAACAAAATAGAAAAATCCTCATGTTAGGTTAAATGAAGAATACAACATTGTATATATCTATGTTGGAATTACTACATTACTTTTTTTAAAGGATCTTCTTTTTTATTTATTTTTTAATATATTTTATTGATTTTTTTTTTTTTTTTTTTTTTTTTTTTTTTTTTTTTTTTTTTTTTTTTTACAGAGAGGAAGGGAGAGGGATAAAGAGTTAGAAACATCAATGAGAGAGAAACATAGATCAGCTGCCTCCTGCACACCTCCCACTGGGGATGTGCCCACAACCAAGGTACATGCCCTTGACCAGAATCGAACCTGGGACCTTTCAGTCCGCAGGCTGACACTGTATCCACTGAGCCAAACCGGTTAGGGCAAGGATCTTCTTTTTTAAAAATATATTTTTATTTATTTTTAGAGGGGAGAGATAGAAATATCAATGATCAATGATGAGGGAGAATCATTGATCGGTCTGCTTCCTGCATGCCCCTCACTGGGGATGGAGCTCGAAACCCCCGCATGTGCCCTTGACCGAAATCGAACCCAGGATCCTTCAGTCCGCAGGGCTACTACATTACATATAATATGTCTAAATATAAAGGGGGGAGGAGAACATGTAAAAACTCTTTTTTATTGCGGGGCGGGGGAGGGGGACGGAATTCTGAGCTGATCTCTCATTAACACACTTGGGATCACTAAAAACATGGTATAGCTTTCTACTTCTACTGAAAAACTACTATTTTAATATTGTTACCTAAAAGCGTTGGGCAGGTATCCAAGTCGGAGCTAGAGTCCTAGGCGTGTGCCTGCTAGTGTATTACTATGCGATTTACAAGGCGCTTGATGAACTCTCACTAGAGGTCCCAAGGTTGAAGGATCAGGTACTGACAAACTAATTAAATGGAAACTCGCATGAAAGAGCAACAGTTACCCCCGGTCTTGGAGCAATAGCGACCATTTCCTGCACTGCCTTGGATCCATTCTTTTCTTTGATACCCTGGTCTCTGAGCGCTTTGCATTTGCACAGCGGCTTGACCCCAATGACTCAGTTAGTAAAATCGCTCCCACTGCCCACAGTTCTTCAGAGCTTCAGAATGAAGACGACGGACACACACACACACACACACACACACACACACACACGGGAAGCGTGGGCCACCGCTCCTCTCATCCATCACTGAGCAACCTCGCCCCGGGCAGAGGATGCAGGAAAATCGCACGACTCTGCAGATCCTCTCCAGCATCTGGGGAAAACCAGGGACAACGGTGTGTAATTGCAGTCTTGGGGGTAAGAGGGCAGTGTCTGCGGAGTCACCCGCAGCCAACAAGGAGCCACGAACAGCTGGTCCCTCCCTCGGACGCCCGGGCTTTCCGCGATCAACGTTTCTCCGGTAACAGCGGGGCTCACTTCCCAGCCTGCAGCTCCCGCCGCCACCGCCGGAGTCTGACCCGGACCAGTGGCAGCCCCGCCCCCGGCCGAAGCCCCGCCCCGGCCGAAGCCCCGCCCCTCCCTCTTCCTCCGCCCCCGCACCCCCCATCTCTGCGCTTGCGCGACCGGAAAATTCGCGAAGGTTCCCGACCCGAAAGCGGCCGTTTCCGGAAGCCGGCTGCCGCCCTGCAGACCGAGCTGTGCTTGCGGCGGGACCTGTCCGCGCACCGCCCTGCGGCCCCGCCGTTGCTCCCGCCTCGGGTCGCTGGGCACGGAGATGGCCCTGCTGTGCTACAACCGGGGCTGCGGCCAGCGCTTCGATGCCGAGAGCAATTCCGACGGTAAGAGAAACGCGCCAGCCTGCGCTCCCCGCTCCCCTGCACCCGGGGACGCCCGCGGGCCACGGTGCCCTGGGTCCCCCCGCGAGCCGTCGCCGCGCTGCCCCGATCGGGTCCCCCCCGGGCCCCCTGGCAGCGCCTCCCACGTGCGCGGAACCCTCGGCGGGAGCCTGTGTCCGCCGCCCGCACCCCGGGGCGGCTTTCCCCGCGGCCGCAGGTGTTTCCCGGCCGCTCACTGTGTAATTGACCTGGAAGTGAGAACACCTTGACCTGCAGCCGCGTCTCTTGGAGGAAGCAAAAGGCAGCCCGGCGCCCCGGTCTCCCTGGGCGGTCGATCTGCAGTGATTGTTTGTGTGTGTGTGTGTGTGTGTGTGTGTGTGTGTGTGTGATTGTGTGTGTGCGTGCGTGCAGAGGCGGGGGGCCTGGGCCGTGGGCGGGTGAGCCCCGCATTTCAGCTCGGCCTGGTTGTATCGGTGCAGAAGTTTATTTGTCTGAAGGCCGGCCTGCGGCGTGTCTGGTAGACTTACTTTTCTGTAAGTGTGCTTGGTCAGGAACATTTATTCTCTATCTCCTAAGATTGGATACATCCGCCCCGGTGGGCGGTACAGCTGTGGTCGTGTTGGGTGTTTTTGCCCTGGCTTTTCCATTTTAGTAACATGCCCTCTCGCCCTGGTCGGTGTGGGTCAGTGGTTAGAGCCTCGCCCCGGGCACCGAAGGGTCGCGGGTTCGTTTCCCGGTCGAGGGGCACGTACCCGGGCGGCAGGTTCCCTCCAGGCCCCTGTCGGGGCGCGTGCGGGAGGCTACCAGTGGATGTGTGTCCCCCCCCTCCCTCCCTTCCACTCTCAAAATCAATGGGAAAAATCACCTCCGGTGAAGACTAACCAAAATGAATGAAATAACATGCCATCTTATGGATAAAGTGATCGAATTAACTCCACACGCCAACGTGTAGCATTAAGGATGTAAAGTAAAAGTTAGTCACTAGACTAGAGGAAAAATAGAAAGTGATCAACGAACTTGAATTTTGATGGGCCAATGGGATAAAAAAGTGATTTGGCTATTTGAATATTGAGGGAGGTGACACTTATTCAAACTCAGCTCTAGCACTTAGTGTGTGTTTTCTATGTGCCGGACATTATAACATTATCTCATTTTAATTTTCACAACAACGCTGTGAAGTAGGTATTACTCAGAGAGGCTGAGTTCAACACGGTAGCAACATGGTTCCACGTTGTGAAGGAGATTAAATTCCAGGTTTTTTAAAATAGTTTCCACCGCTGAGATCTCTAAAATATTTATCTTGGTGCCCAGGTGAATTGGTGACATCATTTAAAATAAGAGCGTTTGGCAAGACTCTCCAATCTTTGTACAATACTCAAGCGATTGTCGTTGACATTTTAATGATATTAACGTTCAGTTATTCAAGGGGGAACTTGTGAGAGTTCGGTGATGATATAATTGGGGAGTGAGGGGTTTGAAAGCCCTCTGCTATTGGCAGTCTCTGTGAAAAGTAAACTGTCTTGCCCTAACCTGTTTGCTCAGTGGGTAGAGCGTTGGTCTGCAGACCAAAGGGTCCCGGGTTCGATTCTGGTCAGGGGCACATACCTCGGTTGCAGGCTCCTACCTGGCCTGGGACCTGGTGGGGCTCATGCAGGAGGCAACCAATCGATGTGTTTCTCTCACATCGATATTTCTCTCTGTCTTTCCCTCTCTCTTCCACTTTCTGAAAATCAATGGAAAAATATCCTCTGGTGAGAAAAAAAAAAAAGTATGCTGCTTTAGTGTCTGCCTGTGTTCTACTTTAACTTAACACTAAATAATGGTGAAAGGCTGATGCTTGGTTGTACCAGACAGTATGTTTATTTATAGGGTGTTAAAAATAAGAGATACACCATTTTTTGGAAGTCAGCTCCGTGTGTGTCGAATGGTACAAAAAGAGATTGGGGGTGGGGTACAGGAAAGCCAGAGGAGTAGATCAGTGGTTCTCAACCTTGGCTGCACATTAGAATCACCTGGCCAGAAATCAGGATTTTTTTAAAAAGATTCCCAGATGATTCTAATGTGCAGCCAAGGTTGAGAACCACTGGAATAGACTGTCTCAAGGATCGTGTGATCAGCACCAAAATCAGCTGAGAGCGCCAAAAAGGTGCCTAAAGTTACTTGCTTTAGCAAAATGGGGATTATTTAGAGCAGAGGTGGGGAGCATTCAGCAGGCAGTGTAAGGCTCGAAAAATCATTTCATCTGGCCCTGCCAAGGCATTAGGGTGAGTTAATTAAATGTTTGACCAAATATAGCAGGCTAATTTTTAAGTTGATAATGTTGCCAAGTCATGAATGATGTTATAAATATCCAAATGGCCCTTGGCAGAAAAAAGGTTCCCCACCCCTGATTTAGAGACAGAATAAGTATTCCAGTAGGTTGATTGATAGAATGGAAAGTTAAGAAAAGGGAGATAGAGAGTAGAAGACAACAGCAAAGGGTGAACTGTGGACTATGTTGGGAGAAAGTTCTGTATAACGAGAGAGGTCTGACATGTACAGTATTGACTAAATAACAAGATTCTTCTAAGCTGATAGAACATTTCAGTTTGAAACACAACTAACTAAATGAGTGTTTTAAAGGAAGCCTGAGTGGTAACTTGCATATGTTAAACAGTTATTCCGGACAAAGCACCACTTCACAAGCAGCATTTCATTTAGTCCACATAGACGAGAAGATGGAAACAGCTGCCAAGAGGCAGGCCAGAATTCGAGCCGGGTCAGTTCCAATGTTCAAAGCCCTTGGCTCTTAACCACTACCATGTTGTAACTCCTTACGCATAAAGTATTACTTGGAGAAAACCTGGTAAACATGATACAAAAAGGCTAGAGAGGACATTGTCCATCTATTTGTTGCTTACTTTTGAAAACTGTTTTCCGATTCTGTTCATACTAGTTGTATGGTTAACACCTGACTGATTGCTGCTGCTATTCTGCCAAAACTGACCATTATTATGATACTGCTTCTTACTGTTATGCATTTATGCCCCTGACTCTCTAAATTTGGCATTTTAAACGTCTCTATTCACTACGTTGATTCCCCTCTCAATTTCATATCCCTCTGCACTTTCATTTCTACTTCGAACCTCCTTTTTTAGTCCTTAATTCCATTACTACCCTTAATTAATAGCTTCTTTCATATCCATGGGTTTATTTACTGTGTCATGAAAATACTTGACACTTTCTTGTTCTGTTTGCTAGCATAGTATCTCGATAACACCTGGTTACTAAGTTGGGGAACCATATTGGCTGTTAAAGAGGGGATAGGGAGATTTCCATAAGTACCAGTATTTAATCAACACCAGGAATGAAAGGTTGTAACAATTGAAATCCAAACAGACATGAAGGTTGAGCAAAACATCTTATAAGAAAATTACACAGGTATGGAACTGACCTGCTTTTTTCCTAGGCTCAATAAGTGTGTCTGTCTATTATGTGACTTTTTTTAAGCGTAATGGTCCGTACTGCAAACTGTACTAAAGCCCATTTTTATGAGAGAGTTGGGTAAAAATTGGTGGTGCGATGAAGAAAGGTATAAGGAAATACAGAATAACAATCGGTGAAAATAGACCAGGGGTGGGCAAACTTTTTGACTCGAGGGCCACAATGGGTTCTTAAACTGGACCGAGGGCCGGAACAAAAGCATGGATGGAGTGTTTGTGTGAACTAATATAAATTCAAAGTAAACATCATTACATAAAAGGGTACTGTCTTTTTTTTTTTTTTTTTTTTTTTTTAGTTTTATTCATTTCAAACGGGCCGGATCCGGCCCGCGGGCCGTAGTTTGCCCACGTCTGAAATAGACTGTAGAACTTCAGCTTCTTTTTAATGAGGTTCATCTCTAAGAATTGATACCTGTTTATGAAAGTTAAATTAGAAATTAGATATTACAACAGTTTTAAAACTTTTGAACCTATTCTTCTAAAATATCTTTTTGCTATTTCATTCCTGCCCTAAGATTATCTCATAGGTAATCTTAAAGTTTGATAGTATTTTTATAAAAACAGAATTGAAAGATAACAGTCAAAATCTTGGAGCTTAAAGTTTTGGTACTAAAATTTTACTACAAAGATTAGAGGAATATAGAATGTAATTTGTTATACTTGAACAATTCTGCATTATTTTTACCTATAGCTATCACACTCCTGAATTAGAACGTTATTACTATTTTAATATAATGTTATATTAAGCACTGTGTGCCATGCATCATATTTGAGCATTAGTGAATTTTTAAAGGAAAAGTATTACCTGCATTTGGAAAGAAAATGTTAACACCTGAGCACTAACAGGTTTGGCTCAGTAGATAGAGCATTAGCCTGCAGACTGAAGGGTTGAGGGTTCGATTCTCCTTAAAGGCATGTACTTAGATTGTAGGCTCAATCCCCTGCCCCTGAGGCAACCAATCAATGTCTGCCTGTCTGTCTGTCTCTCTCTCTCTCTCTCTCTCCCCCCCTCCTTCCCTCTCTCCTCCCTCCCCCCTCCCTCCTTCCCTTCCACTCTTTCTAAAAATCAATGGGAAAATATCCTTGTGTGAAGATTCACAACTACAATAACCAAATGTTAACACCTGACAGAAATAACGTTATTTCTTTATTATAAAGTAGTATTTTTTTTCTTCTCTGTTTTTGGCCAGATGCTTGCACATACCACCCAGGTGTACCAGTCTTTCATGATGCATTAAAGGTAGGAACTTGATATATTTCACCCTCTTTGTATTTATAGAGTAAATTTAGAGCTGTAATGCTAAATATATATTTTCTCATCTTTTGTGACTCTGCTTTCTTAATGACCATTTTGGGATGATTTAAGCAAGTACCCCACTAAATGCAGGGGCAGATCTTTTCCAGTTATAAAATTGTTATTGCTATCCTAACTCATTTTCTATACCCCTCACTTCTTCACTTTTCCTAATTTTGAAGGGAAATGAAAATAAGTTTTGAATCCTAATCTCAATCTGTCAGACAGCTGCTGTCTAATAAGAGCAGATCTGATTTTAGGAAAGATTGTTATAAACACTTAATGGTGCCAATCTCGGGACAGGAATGTAACTTTAGAGTGAAAGTCAACAGGAAAGAGATGCCACCTATTTCCCACCTGTTCTTTGATCTGGAGAAATAGTGAAATAATAGAATGTTGTTTGTCCAGGCTTTTCATGGTGAGTTTTTTGGCCTTTTAAAATGTATGATAACATGGTACATTTCCCATTCTATATCTTAAAAAGAAAATGTTATAGCATGGCTGCCATGGTTTTAGGTGTGGCTACTTGTTCTTAGGAACATTAACAATCTCCTTGAATGTTTAAATATTGTTGATCCCTTTGAATTTCTAATTATACCTTTCAGAGAGTATAATCTTTTTTGATGTTTATCTGTTTGATAGCCAACTATAAACAAAGATGTACAAGCAAATAGCAAGTTTATGTTATTCTGATTAGTTCTCAGTGAGGGAAACGGAACAAATAATAGCGGAAATTGAGACCTGACTCCTCCTCATGGCTTTTTAGCCTTTTTACAAACTTGTAAGGATGGAAACTGGGAAAAAAAATTTTTTTTTCCAGGAGTGACGGATGCTTTAGCTTTCCTGGACTACCATTTATTCTAAGTTTAGTTTTCTTGCTGTATGTTTTTCTTTTTTCTTTTCCTTGATGTTTTCTTCCAATTTATTAACCATAGTCATACTTTGCTTCTCAGTCTTCAACTTCCTACTTTCTCTCATTTTGTTAATTCACTCCTCTCCCTTAAATGTTACCTCTATGGCTTCTACAACATATTTCCATTTATGTGTGTAATTGGCAACTGCAAACTGGTGGACCCTTATTCCAAAAATAGCCTGCCCCTCAATCTTGCTCCTGCTAGATATCACTAACTTTCCAGTCATTCAGTCCATCACTCTTTTTTACTAAACATTGTCAATTATTCTGATTAATTAATGTTAATGATTTTACTTTGAAGTACTTTATTTCTCTTTATTCCAATCCTACTGTTTATTGTCTCTATAAACATTTTCTTGAAGACCTAGACTTTCTAAGACTACTGGATTCACAGCTCAGTAGATTTTAGACAAATTAAGTCAATATAGTGTCTACTGTTGCCAGTTTTATAGTTGATCAAGTAAGATGTTAAACATTGCAGTAACAAAAGAAAGAACATTTTAATATTCAACTTAGAAGAGGTATATTTAGAGAAAAGGACAATCCTTCCTAAGAAACAACAGGAACCTTATACTCATATACTTAAATTTATCCTTCATTTTTTCTCATTTTACTGAGGACTACCATGGATCCTAGATTGGCATTTGGGAACAACAAGTCTATGTAATCTATGTAGACCAGTATCCCCAGCATATACTAGATAAAATTCTTCATATGTAATTAAGACAGTAAAGCCTTTTCTTGCATGGAATATCTTCTCTGATGACTATATTATTAATGCTATTTAAACCCTCTATATAAGGTTATAGTAACTCTTCATCTCTATCTCAATTTAGAATAAAAAAGAATTACATTTCAAAATAAAGGAAATGTATTAATTTTTTTCTTTAAAAAAAAAAACAAAATCAAAACACCTCTAAGTGCATATTGTGAAAAAAATCACTACCAAATTCTTCAAGCAGTGTATTTGGATGAGAGGGGTGGTGTGAGACCCAGATGGGTATGTGCAAAGCTGGCCCTTAGTCTATATTTCAGACCTCCAAAGTCTTGCTGCCTTTTTATTTCCGCATTCTCTGTACTACATTGGAATTAAACATCAAGTCATTTTTTGATGAGCAGTTGATACTTTGTTCAGAAGTTAACACAGTTGATAATAATTTCTATATTTTTATGTTTCCTGACTGAAAAGATCATTTAACCTTCAAAGATCTAACAATGCTTAGGTTACTATAACTATTTCTCTGGTTTACCAGATTTTTAAAATAAAGCACTTCACTTTATTTTTAAGAAATTTTTGAACTACATAAATATAGATGCAAGTCACTTCAGGATTCAAGAAGATAAGTACAAGTAGAGTATTTTACTGGGTTGTGGTTCTCATGCAAATACGGTTTTCAGGTTTGTTTTTTTTCTCTCCTGTTTCATAGGGTTGGTCTTGCTGTACGAGAAGAACAACGGATTTTACTGATTTTTTAAGCATTGTAGTAAGTACTAAATTTTTTCTAGATTATCTCCTGAAGAGTGCATATTCTGCGAAGCTCCAGATTTAAGGAGTCTGATTTCAGACGAGGCCCTGTTAACTTGCAGATCATTTTTTTTTTTTTAATGGAGCTCACCTCCCTCCTAGAGTCTTAAAAAGTAGGAATTTATCTACCTGTTCTAGAGATTAAAATTTCAAGTTTCCCATTTTGATTTATGCTTGATGTAAGTAGTCCTAAAGGAACATCAGGAAGATGGAAGACGGTAGGTAACAATTTAATGCATTTTCAGTTAGGAACAATACATTTTTATCAAGTCAAAGATACCATGGAAATGTACCATTATTTTATATATTTGTAAGAAAGGAAACTAGAGCTGTTAATTGATGTGTCATTAATATTATGGTTTCAGAGATGTTAAAATGTATGTATGGCTCAGTGGGATATGGAAAAGGTAGCTAGCATTTATTGAATGTTTGCCACCTGCCACACGTGCCACGTTTTCTATTATTTTATTTAGTCCTCTCAAAAAATATCTTACCATTATCTCCTGTACTGATGAGAAAACTGAGATTTCAGAAGATTAATTAATTTGTTCAAGATCATGTAGCTAGTTAGTATCAGAACTGGGAATCAGATTGAGGCCCTTTTTTATAAATAATTTATAGAATTCTCTTTGTGAGATCTCCAGAATTTGTTTCCTATTAACAAGAAGTTTGTGCTGTATGTTTAATAGTTAAGTAGATATTTATGAAATGTTATTCAGAAGCTTTTTTTAAAAAAAAAATGCATTATTCAGATATAATATCTATATATATATAAAAGGCTAAGTGACTGGCCAGTAGCTATGACTCACACTGACCACCAGGGAGCAGATGCTAAATGCAGGAAGTGCTGAGCGACAGCAACTTTGCAGAGTTCCCTCTTGCACTCCGAGAATCCTTGGGGGATGTCAGACTGCAGGTTTCGCCCAGATCCCTGCAGGCCAGGCTGTGGGACCCCAGCTGCTGGAAGGATCCCGCTCACTCTGCAGACGCCCTTCCAGCCCTGGCGCCACCCCAGGTGTGGCCAGCTGGGGAGGGATTTTGGGAGGTGTGTCCATCTGGTCTCACACAGTCCCGCTCCGCCAGCCATGATCTAATTAATTTCCTTTCAGTGTGCACAAATCCGTGCACCGGGCCTCTAGTTTACAAATAAAAGCAGATTTGGAGTCTTATTTTTAGTTTCTTAAAATAAGTCAGTATGATAAAAGTGAACAAGAGGACTTATTAATAAAGAATTAAAAATAGTATTTTTATCAAGGCATGTGAAATAGATGAGAGGGCAACTCTTAATGAATACCTTTCACTAACAGGGCTGTACAAAAGGTAGGCATAATAGTGAAAAGCCACCTGAGCCAGTCAAACCTGAAGTCAAGACTACTGAGAAGAAAGAACTATCCGAATTGAAACCCAAGTTTCAGGAGCACATCATCCAAGCCCCTAAACCAGTAGAAGCAATAAAGAGACCAAGGTACATGCTTTTCAGTTGTATATTTTTGTCACACTTGAATAATAGCATTTGTTCTTAGTATTATGGATTTGCATAATTACATTTGTAACAGTTGTTTGGGTCACCATCTTTTTTACCATTTGGTTTTCCTTTAGATAGATCTTTTATTTTTATTCCTCCTCAACTTGAGGCCCTGTACACAGTAAACTTAATTGCAGAGTTGGTCACTGTACCATCATAGTTATGGTGGGTGGAGGAGCCACACATCCGTCTTGTGCCTTGGCTTATGTCTTTCTCACTGTGACATAGTGAGATTCTGTACAGGAATTGCCCTTTTCATCAGTTTGAGTTGAAAAAGAACTTAGAGGTCTTCCTTCTCGTTTTCTTTACTGTTTCTTGAATATCTTTTAGGACATTCTTGACAGAAAAATTTTTAGTTCCCTTTCAAATTTAGTAAAGAAGAATGTCCTTTTATTTCAAAGGGGTCTATTATATTGCTACTAGATCAGTATGTGATTTTCACATTGAGCCAAAGTCTCTTTTTTATTTGTCTATATTTTGTCACTTAGAAGCCTAGTGCCATCTTTTACTTTCAGATGCCTGAAACTGTTAATCTCATTATTACTGACTTTGATTTAGATAGCATTTCTGTTAAAGTTTTTAATGTATTTGATTTAGATAGGATATCTGTTAAAGCACTTTTGCTCAGTAGGATTATATAGATTCTTCATACTCACCTAGACTCAATCTTACATTCCTGCACATGCATATGGGGTGCCGCTGTTACACCAGGGCTTTTCATGTTGCACTTGAGTACTGAACTGTTTTAGAACCAAAGTACAAGAATCAAAAAATGGATTGGACTTTGGCCTCAAATAAGGCTCCTGTTGATATTTTATTTACACTATAGACTTAGGGTTTCCCAGCTTTTCCTTTATTGATCTTACTTAAATTTATAGCATATTGAATTATATCAGACCAAGATAAGAACCCCAAGAGACTTTTTGAATATTTGATTATTTAAGCAAACTACTTAGAATGAGTTTTATTCTAACTTCACCTTATTAAAAATCATGAGACTTTATCAAATGCCTTGCTTGGCAGTCTAAAAAGTTTTTTTTTTAATTATCAGAAAAATACAAGAATTGTTGCATGACTCCTTAAGTATTACAGTGTACTTATAATACCATAATTGTCAATATGAGTTACTATTTTCTTTAAATAATGGACTACTACTAATTTTACTTTAGAGGAAGTGAGATAAATATTTTATCCTAAATTTGGTGGTATTGTAGAGATTTTGAGGTTTTTATGTACTTTGTTCATGGCCTCCTACATCAGATACGGATATAGAATGAATAACTTAGGATTTATAATTTTATTCCTGCATTTATTGATAGTCTTAATATCTATTGAGTGGCCTTAAACAGATCGTACATACGTCACTTAATCATATAAAATTCTAGGGGTTGCTGTACTGTTGTTTTTTTTTAAATATATTTTATTGATTTTTCACAGAGAGGAAGGGAGAGAGATAGAGTTAGAAACATCGATGAGAGAGAAACATCGATCAGCTGCCTCTTGCACATCCCCCACCGGGAATGTGCCCGCAACCCAGGTACATGCCCCTGACCGGAATCGAACCCGGGACCTCTCAGTCCGCAGGCCGACGCTCTATCCACTGAGCCAAACCGGTTTCGGCAAGGGGTTGCTGTACTGTTTTATTAACTCTACTAAAGTTGCCTGTTGATACATCTGAATTTATAGATAATATCAGTATCCACACAAAGTGAATTATCTTCACCAGTAGGAATATGATTCACTTAGTACATATTTATTGCTTGTTTATTATATACTCAACATTTTGCTTAGGCATGAAACATAAAAGTACATCATGGTCCCTTTCTTGGGTACACACACCTTGACAAACTTGGATTGCCACTCTTTATTTCCTTCCCATTAGCCTGTTGGTTAATTTATTCTGTTGGCAATACCATGATTATTTGAGACTTAATATTTTAATATCAGAACCTTTTCTGTTAAAACTTACACATGTTCATACATTATAGCAGTTATTTGGAAAAACTTCTCCTGGCTGGTGTGGCTCAGTTGGTTAGAGCGTTATCCCATACACCAAAAGGAGGCAGGCTCAATCCCTGGTAGGGCCCTGTGAGGAGGCAACCCATCGATGTTTCTCTCTTTCCCTTATTCTCTCTAAAAATCAATTTAAAAAATTTATAATGGGAAAATCTTGATTTACACATGATTTGGCTTCTTTCCATAAATAGGCTCGTAAATATATTTATTTTTAGTACAAATAAATATTTTAGTACATCAATGATTATAATAAAATTTCACAATTCTCCAGCCCAGATGAACCAATGACAAATTTGGAATTAAAAGTATCTGCCTCCCTAAAACAAGCACTTGATAAACTTAAACTGTCATCTGGGAATGAAAAAAACAAAGGTAAGATTTTGTTTTGTATGTTGCAATTATTTTTTGTATAATTAAACAATTATCTAAAAGCAAAAGGAGCTGTATAATTTACTGAATATAAATATAAAAAATATATATGTAGCACATTGTAGTAAAGAACTTACTTGTTTTTTAAATGCCAGTAATAACACAGAATGGGTATGTGGTTTATTTAAAAAATTAAATTATTTTTCTTCTTCATTATTTTTTAAACAGTAAGATAAATTTCTTTGATGATTGTAAATGTTTCCTTGTAGACTAGATAAAATATATTCTCTGACCTATACTTGATACCCATGGGAGGAAAGTACCCTTTCATGATTTCTCTTTCAAACAAGTTAAGATATTGGATCTAATACTGAATTAAGAATAGAAATGTGTCCCATAGCTTTTTAGAGATATCGGTAAAACCTAATCACAATAGTCGGCATATTAGCTTTTTAAATACACAAAAGATCACATAGAAAACTTAGTTACCTAAAATGCTTAATTGCAATTTATTTAATTTTAATATGTTCATTTTTTGTAATTAAATTATTTTTTAAAAATATTTGTTTTATGGAAATGGTTACTTTTTAAGAATGGTACTACAGTAAAGTGCTCTGTTTTAATGTTTCTCGTTTGATTTTTTTGTTTCAGAAGAAGACAGTGATGAAATTAAGATTGGGACTTCATGTAAAAATGGAGGGTGTACAAAGGTATTTATTGTAAAATTTGTGTTGAGTCATGGAAGTAAAATATTAATGTTGGGAAAAAGTGTAATTTCATAAATCAGTTCAACACACATTTGTTTGCCTATTACATGTTGGACACTGTACTATGACTGTGGCTTGTGAACATTGATAAGGGACTGTCTGAGGAGCATATCTGATAGAGTCATAGGATTAAATACAGTGGGGCCTTGACTTATGAGTTTAATTCGTTCCGAGACCGAGCTCGTTAACTCAAATTATTCTATCAACTCAATGCAAAAAATCAGCCGAGAGACAGCTGGTATCTCAAAAAACTCGTTAGTCGGGACACTCTTAAGTCAAGGCCCCACTAAAATCCTAATTTAGTCAGCACTCACTGAGAGTTTACTATGGGCCAGACATTGTTTAAGGTCTAGGAACATAGTAGATTAAAGCAGAAATCTCTGTTCTTGTGAACCTGATAGTCTAGTTTAGAGGAAAGAACAACAGGTAGATAATTAAAAAAATTCAGATAGTTATGAAGATAAGGAAATAGAAGGAAGCTATTTTTTTTATTTTTTTAAATATAGTTTACTGATTTTTTTACAGAGAGGAAGGGAGAAGGATAGAGTTAGAAACTCGATGAGAGAGAAACATTGATCAGTTGCCTCCTGCACACCCCCCACTGGGGATGTGCCCGCAACCGAGGTAAATGCCCATGGAATCAAACCCGGGACCCTTCAGTCGCAGGCCAATGCTCTATCCACTTAGCCAAATTGGTCAGGGCAGAAGGAAGCTATTAAAATTAGAATGTCAGGGAAATCTTTTATGAAGTGGTGACACTAAGTCAAAAATCTGAATTATGTATGGATGAGTTAAGTAAATCTTGGAGTAGACTCGGGAGTAGTATGTATAGAGTCTTTAGAGCTTGTCTGTTCAAAGAATTATGAGAAAGGTCAGTGGGGCTTGGACAAAGGTGTGTAAGTAAGTAGTGGAAAAGAGAGGTGGGCAACATTATGGAGGTCCTTAAAAGCCACAGTGAGGTGTTTGGGCTTTATTCTAAGTAAAATGGGTAGCTATTATCTGTTTTAAGGAGGGGTTTAAAAAATTTGTCTTTGGCTGCTTAAGTGGCAAATATAATGGGGCAAGAGTGAATTTGAAGAAGGAAATCTAGGATACTATTGTGGGAGACCAAGCAGTGAGACTGGAAAGTATGTTCTTTAGAAGTGGTTAAATGTGGAATGTAATCAGACATCTCAGTGAGGCTTTTCCCCACCTGTTCTATGTAAAATTGCATGCCCTCCAGCATTTCCACTCCTTTTTTTCTCCTTAGTCCTTAACACCTTATGACACACTACTTATTTTACGTATTTATTTTGCTAATGTTCCATCGAGCTTTCCATTCCCCTCCTTCCCTTAAAGTTTACAAGGAAATGATTATATTTGTTTTGCTCTTTGCTGTATTTTGAGTGCTTAGAGCAATGCCTGCCACATGGCAAATGTATGTAGAACGAATGATTTCTTGAAGTATTAGTAGGACTTGCTAATGAACTGGAAATGAAGGAAGGGGGCTTGTGTCTCTAGCATGTAGGTGGTTGGGGGAACATTGATGAAGAAAGAAGACAGGGTTAGGGGGAGCAGGTTTATAGTTTAGCCTCATGTTAAGTTTGATATCACCTTGCTCATTTAGGGATGGAAATATAAACATCTTCACAAAGGTAGAAGTAGTAGATAAATGATAATTCTTGGGGTAGGAGAGTCAGTGCAAATGGTAGGATAGTTAAGAAAGAGACAAAGAAGATGTCCTGGATGAATTTTGAAAAACAATGATAGTTCTGTAAATGGACAGAAAGGAAAAGGATATACAGTGGGGCCTTGACTTACAAGTGTCCCGACTAACGAGTTTTTCGAGATACGAGCCGTCTCATTGCCTAAAATCTGGTGGTGATCATGAGAAAAGTTATTAGCAAGTCAAATTGATATTTTTAAGTCAAATTGACAGTTTTTGATAGACTGAATATGATTGGAGGGAGAGGAAAAATCGAAGAGGACATACAGAATTTTGTTTTGGGAGATTGAGTTGATATGGTGCCATCAAATAAGGTCGGAAGACAAATAGGAGGTTCGTGAGGCAACGGTGATAAGTTCAGAATCCAACATACTGAGCTTCATGTACTTATGGTATACCTTTAGGAGATACACACACCCAGGACTTTGGATTTACAAAAGAGTAAATATACAGAATTTTTATTTTCTGTACTGTAGGTGGTTACAGTAAATATCAAAATAGAAAATAAACTACTGGCTGCATGTATGTTTTATTAACATAACTTTTTGTGAATTCATCTGTAGAGCCTTCACCTATAGCAGCAATGGGGTCCGGATCTTCCAGACAGATCCCGGGGGGGGGGGGGGGGGGGGGGGGGGGGGGGAGAGATACACACACACACACACACATATCTGCAGCTCATTTTACCCTTTATAGGGATAAGAAATCATCATTCTAGAACTTGCAGAATTGTTTACTAGGTTTTCCATATTAATTCATAATGCCCACACAGACTTTACTATGCACATAAATCATACTGTAACTAACTACATTTCTGATGAGATTCCTAATCTCTTGGTTTTAATATTCTGTAAATTTAAATACCTCAATATGCTTGAACATGACTTCCTACCCAAAGGTCTGAAAGCATATTAATACATCCTATTGCCTACTTTTCTATTTGCCTTTTTCATAGGGGACTGAAACGTAAGCCTATTCAAACAGGAATCATTTTTCATTTCTTATTGAAATGGCCTGGGTGAATTTGTGACTGTTCTAGGTTATGTTATTTCTTGAGCATTTTCATAGTTTATAAAGGTGCCCAATACTACAAATATGTATGAAATGTAACTTTGAGGTCTGAAGCTAATATTTTTTTTCTTTTTTTTTTTCTTTTTTTTTTTAGACATATCAGGGTCTACAGAGTCTAGAAGAAGTCTGTGTATATCATTCTGGTGTACCTATTTTCCATGAAGGGTAACTTATTAATTAAAACTTTATGGTAGAGGTTAGAAAAGTTAATATGCCTTTAAACATTATTTGCCATGCAGTAAATTAGATATTTTTATTTATATTGTGTAATCTTTACAATAATCTAGAAATGTGGGCTTTGTCTTTTTACTCATGAGAAACTGAAAAAGTATTACAGTTAAGTGACCATTGTGACTCAAACCTCATGTTTCTCATTTTATATTTTAATGTGATACCTATTTTAGCTGAATAGGTTTTTTTTGTTTTTTGAAGAACCATTCTGTGCATTGCAGGACATTTATAATTTTTTACCTAGGGCACTAATGACACCGACATTGAGGTGCGCAAAAAGCCATGCTTGTTTACAGCCCTCAGTTGAGAGCCTCCCATTATTTACCCGGTAGTTTATAGAAAAACTGTGTTGAAATCTTCCATTCTGTTTCCACTATTTTTCAGAAATCAAGCCCAAAGTTCTGTAATTTTTGCCTTCTCGTTTTAGATTTTTCTGAAGTATGTAATAGTGGGTTTCATTATTCACAATCCCAGTACTTTGGGATTGACCTTCACAGATGTGCAGACATTAGTTTTTAGTTTGTTTGCATGTTTTCATTTTCTTGGGTTATTAAAATGTGAGGATATAAACCTTTGGTCATAGCACACTTTGGTAGCTTCATGAGGACCCTGGAGCTATCAGTGAAAAGCTGATTTGTAATTTTGTGGTGTTTTTAAGCACCATTACTTAGGAGATCCAAAATTGTTATAATAAATGGCATTGTGGTTTTAGAATTATTAGTCTTTTGATAATATTAACTGGTTACTTAGATTTAAGATACTAAAGTTGCACACTTACTGATTTTTTTAAAATCACATTTGTCACTACGATACTTCTGGACTTAATTGGTTGTGAGATTTTATTTCTGAAATTTTTCTATGATAATTTAAAGGATGAAATACTGGAGCTGTTGTAGAAGAAAAACTTCTGATTTTAATACTTTCTTAGCCCAAGAGGGCTGTACAACAGGGAAACATATGTGGACGGCAAAAGATGCTGTAAGTAACCTTTTCAAGATAACATATTAAAGTATATTCATCTGAGTTATTTTTTAAATTCTGAGATTATCCTGTCTTTAGAGTAAAAATAAAAGTTTGTCTCTCTCACACAGTTTTGATGGGCCTAAAAACTAAAATTAATCTGAGTCCAACGCCCAGAGCATGCCCTTTGTCAGGATAGTCATTGTATATATTGATCCCAGTATATAGGTTTTTATGAAATAATTAAGCCTGGAGAAATTAGAGCATATTTTTCTGTAATTCCGTGTTTTATTCCCACTTTTTTAACAAAAATCACTTTTCTGTTCATTTGATGTTATCAATCATGTAGACCTCTGATTGTCTTTGGCTTCTTTAGAAGTTCATTCAGCCATTTACAGATGCACACACACACTTCATCTGGTGGCCAAAGAGGAGGATTGCAGACTTGTTGGAACTGTTTTGAATGCCTCTGCTTGCAGAAAAAAGAAAGCATCAATTCCTACTTCCCTAGACAGCTTTTTAAAAAGACTTGGGCTCTGCAAATAATTCCCCCAAATCCCAGTAAGCTGTAAGAAGGCAAGCAATTTATTGCTAAATAACTGTTGAATAGCTATTACTAATGTATTTTGTAATGTAATTAGATTTATGTGCTGCATTGGCACTAATAAATCGAAGGCAAACCTTTTCAGTATATGTCTTTTAACTTAAAAAGTAATTGTAAATTTTCCGATTGCTGTAGGGATTCATTTCTTCTGCATTTGAGTATTCTATATTTCCTGCCTTTTAATAGCACATGGCTGGAGGTTATAAATACACAGTGGGACAAAAGTAGGTTTACAGTTGTGATTACGTGAAACACAGAATTTATTCTTGTATTATTAATTAATTGTTGTATTATTTTCATATGAACAACTCTAAACCTTTGTCCCACACTGTATATCCCTCAAATTATAATTCATCAATCACAAAACTCCTAGGTGTGTTTTATTAGCAGAAAAGTGAAGCCTCCTTGTATTTTCTCCAAGGCCCAAAAATTTGAAAGATTTCGTTTGAAAAAATAAAACTTGTTTTTTATTATATGCAAAATTTTTCAGAATAGAACCCTTGATGAGATTTTTTTTGTAATTTAAATAGCTTTATTTTTCCTGTTTATAGAAAAAAGTAAGCAGAATTATAAAATTCTGTGAGAGAAAAGTTCAGATTGTTTAAAAATGTGCCATTTTAAGTGTGAAATTCAGTAGCCTTAAGTACATTCACAGTGTTAGGCAATCATCACAGCTATCTTTCTCCAAAAGTTTTTGATCCAAACAGAAACTCTATACCATTAAATCAATATCTCCCCATTCTGCTTCCTCCCCAGTTCATTGGTAACCTCAACCTACTTTTTATTTCTACAAATTAGTCTATTCCAGATATATAAGTGGAATTATTCGATATTTGTCCTTTTGTGTCTGGCTTATTATACTTGGCGTAATATTTCCAGTATTCATCCACACTGTAGCATGTTTTAATACTTCTTTTTTGTGGCTGAATAATACTCCATTGTGTGTGTGTGTGTGTGTGTGTGTATGTATATATCTCACACCTTGTTTATTCATTCATCTCTCCCTTCTTTTTAATATGTATTTTTTAAATTGATATCAGAGAGGAAGGGAGAGGGAGAGAAAGAAACATCAATGATGAGCAAGAAGCATCAGTTGGTTGCCCCTTTGTGCGCCCTCTACTGGGGATCGAGCCTGCAGCCTGGGCATGTGCCCTAATTGGAAATCAAACTGTGACAATCTCGTTCATGGATCAATGCTCAATGACTGACCCACTGCTGAGGCTCTTCATTCATCTCTTGATGGACACTTGGGTTGTTTTCACTTTTTTGCTCTTGTGAATAATACTACAATGAACATTGGCATGCAAGTATCTGTTTGAGTCCCTTTTTCAGTTATTTTGAGATATATCCAGGGTTTTCATTATTTTTTAATGCATACATATATCACATATTAAGTGTCTAAGCCAGTGGTCTAATGGCCAAAAAAAAAAAAAATGTAAGTGAAAAAAGTAATTTAAATTCAGTTAGTATAATTGTACCAAAATGTAAATATTGTTTTTTATAACTATAGTACCTCACAATTTCCTGCATTATTTGACTAATTAACCCTCATTTATAAAACAAATCACAATTTGTCTTTTTAAAATAGTTGCTGATAACAGTAATATACCACTGGCAGATAATAATTTCCACAATTATAATTAATCAAAATATTACTTCCAAAAATTCTCAACTTTTTCTGCATGTTATTATGAGAAGAAAATAATTATTCAATTACAAATAGTTATGCCCTAGCCAGTTTGGCTCAGTGGATAAAGCATCAGCCTGTGGACTGAAAGGTCCTAGGTTCGATTCCAGTCAGGGGCACATGACTGGGTTGCAGGCTCGATCCCCAGTAGGGGGCCTGCAGGAGGCAGCCGAACAATGATTCTCTCTCATCATTGATGTTTCTATTTTTCTCCCTCTCCCTTCCTCTCTGATATCAATAAAAATATATTTAAAACAAAACAAAAAAAACCAAATAGTTGTAAGCAGTCAATTATTTTTTTCCAAATTCCAATTTGTAGAAAATAAAGATTCCCATGCATGAGATTAATATATTATCTGGTTATACCACTAAGCAAATGTCTCTCACTTCAGTCTACAAAAATGTTTTTATGGCTGTACTTAATTTTAAAATTGGATAAAATTTTGTAGGCGTTCTTAAATTGCATTTTTTAATATGTTAATACTTACGGCTCTATAAGAAAAAAAATGGAAGGAATACATGTGTTCTCAAATCATAAAACTATAAAGATTCTTTGTGTCATGATATATTTTATTGTTCAAACTTTTTGATGGCAACTTTAGAAGTTTACTCTTCCAAGCATTAAAGCATTACATGATAATTTTTTCTCATTTAGATAGGTCTTCTTTAAAAATATTCCTCTTTTTAAGAAGTTACGTGGAACTTTGTAAATTCATAAAGTTTGTCTTATATTACAGGGGAAAAAAGTTGTTCCATGTAGACATGACTGGCATCAAACTGGGGGTCAAGTCACAATTTCAGTATATGCTAAAAATTCACTTCCAGAACTTAGTCAAGTAGTTGCAAATAGTACATTGGTAAGTACATAAAGATTTCTGAGTAAAAAGTATCTTTATACATTTATTCTTTATGTTGTTGTAATATTGTTCTTATTTGAACTGGCTTTAGGGTAAGATCTTTTCATCTTTCCCATTTGAAAAAATAGTTTGAAATTACTTTTACAGTAACTATTTTAAATGAAAATTTCTACATAATATAGTTATTTGAACCATTCTGGAGACACTGTAGTAACTTAGAAAATGTATTAAATAATATGGTACTTAGTTCTGTCAATGGGAAACTTCAGATAATTTTTCTTTTCTGTTAATGATGTTTTTCAGATAAAAAGTACAGTTGGCAATTTGTTAAAATGGCTTAAATGATTTTTATCAATATATTCTTATTTTCATAATCATTGTTTTATATCATAAACCTTGAGTTTGGATTTGATCAGTTATTCAGCTTTCTATAAATATCTTTTTCAGTTAAATGTACACATTGTATTTGAAGGAGAGAAGGAATTTCATCAAAATGTGAAATTATGGGGTGTAAGTATTATGAATCCAGCATAATAATTTAAAATACCGTTTGTATAATAAAAGGCAGTACTTTAGTAATTATTCTAACCAAAAAGTTGAAATCTAGGTATTTAAATGGCATTAGAGTCTTGGATTTTTTTTATTATTAAAATAGGTAAGACCAGTATTTTCCTCTAAGACTAACTACACTACCCAGGTTTACTTTAATTCTCTTTGATATTTTGCAGGTGATTGATGTAAAGCGAAGTTATGTAACTATGACTGCAACAAAGATTGAGATCACCATGAGAAAAGCTGAACCAATGCAGTGGGCAAGCCTTGAACTGCCTGCAGCCAAAAACCAGGAAAAGCAAAAAGAAAATAAAACAGAATAAATTGAGAGGGAATAAAAAGTTATTGCCTATTTCAGAATTCTTAATATGTGGTGAAGTAGTCGCTTGCTGCTGTAATCTCTTGTTGTTATAGTTGAATCTGGTATTTCAGGGTCAACAGTGTAGGTTCTTAAAAGCCAAAGTCAGTTTATCTTTTTGTGCCTCCTTTTATTTTTTATTTTTTCGGTTTAAGATTGATTATTCATTTCTCCTAATAGAACTATAGTTGTGTCCCATACTTGAAGAAGCTAGAAAATAGCTCATAAATAGAGTAGTTCTTAGTATAATATTGTGTTAAAAGATACATAAAGTATCATCTCTTTCTATTCCATAATTAGTAAAGCAAGATGGAATGTCAATTTTTTAAATAGTTTTTTCATGAGTTTGTGTTCCTATAATACTTGAAAATCTTTCTTTAAAAGTTAAAGCTCCACAATGTTTTTTTCCACTCCGACGGTTAATTTCTGTAGGAGGATTAATTGTGAGGTAGTGTAGTAACTACTTAAGAATATATGAATTGATTAATAAATTGCAATTTGTTTGCAACTAATTGCAAAAACTTTATATCAATACCTATATTACTTGTAAGGCTGTATCACTTAAGAATACAGGAAACATTATAAATAAAAAATATAGAGGTATGAATTTGTTTAAAATTCATCATTTTATAAGACTAAGCAATAATGTTAAATATCTCCTGATTATTTATAAGGTCTTGGTATGGTGTGATGGCTAAATTGTATCTGAATCATAGGCCACACCCTCTTAATATTTTTAATTACATATAAAGAGAAACTAAATATATATATCTGGCTTTCCTGATGGTAAACTATATAAAATTATAGAAGTACATTATGGAAATACACTAGAGTTTCAGAAAACTAAATATTTTAGCTTTGCTTTATGACAGCTATTACATGTTAAATAAAATAGCGTAATTGTTTTATTGGGGTTTTTTAGGCTTTCATGAACAGTTTGACAATTCTAAGTGATACAGTATTGATTATATATTGTACTTTATTAAATAAGTATCACAATATTAGATTGTTTATACTTATTGAACCCATTAAGGGATAGATTACTTTTTGAGGAAGTGCAAAGCTCACGAAGAAAATGAAGAAAAAATGTTATGAAGGCCAAAACTCTGGCAGAATTTTTGGGCATGAATCATGCTTGCATTGATTAAAATGATTATTTCCTAAGCCCTTTGAGTGGTCCTCTCCCCCCCCCCCCCCCCCCCAAGCCCTCACCCCACTCCCCTGGATGAATAGGATTTTTATCATGGAAAATTTGCTGAAATACAATTTTAGTTAAAGAGTTAGTATATCTCACTCTATAAATAACTATTAGATGTAGTTAATGTAATTGTTAAATGGCTTAGCTCTCTTACAAATAAAGATGTAAAATATGTCAACTATGCTTTCATGATACTAAAATACTCTGGCAAGAATATTTTGGCAGTAAAATTGGTTTCCAAATAGAGTATACAAGTGAATTGTATTTAAATTTTGTAAAGTTAGCTTTCATAACTTAGGAACCTGGGTTCAATAGGACACATGCAATCTTTATTGTTTAGGGGAAAGTTTGCTATTGTTTTGATTTGAGGTGATGAATTAATATACCCCTTTTTTATGTTTCCTTCTTTGAGGCTATTTTCCCCCAAACCCTATCTTACTGTGTTCTGTGTGATTGAACTATTATTTAAAGCAAGTGGATTATACACCTAAGAGTTAGTTACAAAGCACTGACTTTTGTATTATTTTTGGATACAGCATACATCTTTAGTCTGGTTACATTAGTGACCCTTCTGTTCTTCATTTCCATGAACCTCTGAATTTGCTGCCCAGATAAAAATCTAAATGATACTTCTCTTTAACTCATACATACATACATATAGCAACAGATTTATAATTAGGTAAAATGTGTTTTACTTTTTCAGTCTGTCAAAAAATTAAAAATGCTTAACTTTAAGTTATTTCTCTAGAAATAGACTTTGCCTTTCTCAGCATTTCAAGTAATTACTATAGCAAAGCAGTCAAAGCTAGGTTTATTATATACTTGGTAACTAATTTGACAGCTAAACTAACCATGGGAAACATTATTTTTCTTGCCTACCACTTTTGCTAGTATAAAGTAAGGTCCTAAGAAGTTGAGCTTTTATTTCTTTTCAACCTCTTATTTTTAGGTAAGTTTAGCTTTACAGAGGAGTTGCAAAAAAAAAGTACAGTGTTCTTTATATGTTATGTTAATCTTCCCTTTGTGTTAAACTCTTACATAATCATAAAACATTCACAAAACTAAGAATTAGTCTTGATATAATACTATTAACTAAAGTAGAACATTAATTTTGACCATCTGTTTTTAGAGGAACACTGTTAAAGGGTAGTTCTTGAGATGTATCCTAGTTTTTGGTAATTTAAGCCAGGAATTTATAAACCATTAAAAATATAAATTGAAATCAGTCTACCATAGACAAATGTGTATAGGTCAAAGGCATAACTTCTTGTTCTAACCATATACTGGCACAGGACTGTAATGATCTATTTTATTATTTAAATTTTATACCATCGATTTTAATTTTTATCATGTATAACTTCTTTTGTTTGGTTTTCATTAGACAATTCTTCAGCCATCTTATGGTAAAGAGAACCTTAAAGAATTCTTGAAAATACATTAAGTGACTTTCGATGATTGCTCTGCCACTGCTTTCTTTTAAAAAAATCAGTCATTCTCCAGTTTGAAAATGCTTGTCATGCATACACGCACAATAAACTTTTTAAAAACTCGTGTACAAGGTGTAATGTCAGTTTTAGGGCATTTGGGTATGTACTCTTATAACTTTTTTTTAACAGCCAGGTACTTTCAAGTTATCAGAACATTAATGAGTGTTTTTGTTTCATTACAAATTACTTGCATCTAGAACTCATATTTGGTACTTGATTTGATTCTGTTGCTTATATAATTTCTTGTCCTCAGTTCTAAAATGGAAAAACTAAGTCCGTCTTGTTTTTAGGTTTTGTTATCATTTTGGGGGGTTTATGGCTTTTTTTTGTTGTGTGTTGTATTTCCCCCCCCATATATTTTCATTGCTGGTTTGTTGGGTAGTTGGGAAGTTGGTTTTTTACCTGATTGCTTTCTTACTGTCCAGTTATCTTACAGCTTAAACTCATCTGGAATTGCTGCATGGCCTGCCTTCTTAAGTAAGGGTAGGCGCACAGGGTTGTATATGTGTGGCATTATCCTTCAAATAGTGGGCTTCCAACATTTTCTTCTGTGTAGTTATTGTTTGATGTTAAGTTTTTATGTAGTTCTTAGTTGTGAGTAATTCATTCAAGAACAGTTTTTCTGAACAGCATATTTTTTTTTAATGTATTTTACTCATTTTTTACAGAGAGGAAGGGAGAGAGATAGAGAGTTAGAAACATCGATGAGAGAGAAACATCGATCAGCCGCCTTCTGCACATCTCCCACTGGGGATGTGCCCGCAACCCAGGCACATGCCCTTGACCGGAATCAAACCTAGGACCCTTCAGTCCGCAGGCCAACGCTCTATCCACTGAGCCAAACCGGTTTCGGCCTGAACAGCATATTTTTAAATGCTAATTAATGACATTTTAGTTTTCTAATTTACAAGGTCATTTAATGTCTATTAAAATGAAATAAAACTTCCAGCCTTAAACATTTTTATATTAAAGATGGTGTCGAAATAACCTGCCATTCATTTTTGATTAAGCTATTTATTGTCCACATAATTGGATTAGATTGTCTTTTTTAAGGCTGATACTTTGAGTAAAAGTACTGGTGGTAAGCCTGGGAACAGGGAAACCTCTCTCCTCGAAAAATGGGTCTGTTAATGCCTTTTTAAAGTGCTTATCCTTTCCTTCACAATGCTTATTTCAGTTTGCAGTTCCATACTTCATATTTTATTTATTTCTATGATTAATTTGTCAGTGTCTGTATCTTCTCATAAACTGCATATAACTTTGTGTTCTCATAAACTGCATATAACTTTGTTTGTGTTTGGGCCAATCATCCTCATGTTTTAATATTTGGCATGTTGGTTGGCTTTTGTAAATACCAAGACATACAGGTCTTGTGATGGCTCAGTCACTGTCTAAGGCAGGGGTGGGCAAACTTTTTGACTCGAGGGCCACAACGGGTTCTTAAACTGGACCGGAGGGCCGGAACAAAAGCATGGCTGGAGTGTTTGTGTGAACTAATATAAATTCAAAGTAAACATCATTACATAAAAGGGTACGGTCTTTTTTTTTTTTTTTTTTTAGTTTTATTCATTTCAAATGGGCCGGATTCGGCCCGCGGGCCGTAGTTTGCCCACGGCTGGTCTAAGGACTTCAGTGAATATGAACTTGATCCTCATGACAACCCTATCAGGTAGGTTCTATTACTATATAATAGGAGAGAGAACTGATTTATGGCACAGGTTGAATAACTTGACCTAAGTCAAAATGAGTGAGTTGTGGAGTAGAGAATTCAAACTCGGGCATCCTGGCTTTGTGTTCTGTGCTGTTATGTCTGTCATTTGAATTAATAGGTTCCTTAAAACATTGGCACATGTCAAGGAAAATTAGTAACACTGTGTTTAGTCACCAGGACCACAATTTTAGTTTCCTATATTTTGTTAGAAAATAAATTTATAAAATATGTAGTCCTTTTGCATGGATGGTTTTGGTTATAACAATAAACTCATCATTTGTGATTTGGCAACTCTTAGGGTCTCTAGTCAAAAGCAATTGAAAAAAAATTTTTTTCCATTATCATTCTTATAGTGATATGTATTTTGTGTGTAACTCATAGATGGGAATTCATATCTACATGTTAAATAAGATGTAATGAAATAACATCAACTTACCTTTGTTTTAGCCATTAATATGAATTTAGAGTGCAACATAAGAAACAGAAGATTGTAAACCTAGGGACAGATAGCGAAGGATCATTTGCATTTTTTGCTTTTGTCTTCTAGGCCAGGTCAGTGGTTATCAAAGTATCAGATCTAGATCAGCAGTATCAGCATCTTAGAATCTGTGACAAATGCTAATTTTTTTCTTTAACATCAGACCTCCTGAATCCAAACCAGGGTGATGTCCCAAAAATTTGCAGCATATTTTGTGTTTCATTGTGACATACAATAAAGTTTGAAAAACACTAGCAGCATTAGTCTAATTAGGCTTGCTTTTATTTTTTTTTTTACTTTATGAACTTACATATTTTGTTATTAACCTCTTATCAGATAATATAGTTTACAAAAGTATTTTTTTTCTCCCATTTTGTAGGTTGCCTTTTAAATGTTTCTTTTACTGTGCAAAAGTTTTAAATTTTATTGTAGTCCCATTTGTTGGTTTTTCCTTACGTTATTTGCGCTTTAGTTGTCATATCTAATAAATTCTTGCCAATACCCATGCTAAGAAACTGCTTCTCAACGTTTCCTTCTAGGAGTTTTATAGTATCGGGTCTTATGTTTAAGTCTTTGATTAATTTTGAATTTTTGTGTGTGGTGTAAGATAGGGATCCAATTTCATTGCTCTGCATGAGTTTATCCAGTTTTCCCAGCACGATTTTCCCAAAGTACTCTTTCCCCATGGGATGCTCTTTGCTCCCTTGTCAAATATTAGTTGACCATGTAAGCAGGGATTAGTTCTGAACTGTACTCTTTCATTTGTCTGTGTCTATTTTTCTCACTAGTACCATACTGTTTTTATTGCTGTAGCTTTGTCACACACAAAGTGTGGTACCTCCAGCTTCATTATTTCTCAGGATTGGTTTGGCTCTTTGGGGTCTTTTGGGGTTCCATACAAATTTAACAATTGTTTTTTTTTTCTATTTGGTGAAAAATGCCATTGGTATTTTGATGGGGGGTCCATCGAATATATAGATGACTTTGGGTTGTATGACATTATAGTAGCATTCTTCCAGTCCATAAGCATGGGATATCTTTGCAAATTTTTGTTTGTGTCTTTGATTTTGTTCAGCAAAGTTATGTAGTTTTTGTTATAAAGATTTTTCACTTTCTTGGTTGAGTTTAGTCCTAGGTATTTTAATTGTTTTTTGATGTTGTGAATAAGATCGTTTTATTTCTTTTTCAGATGTTTCATCTTTAGTGTATTGAGATGACACTGATTTCTGTATGTTGATTTTGTATTTAGTAATTTTTACTAAAATTATTTTCAACAGTCTTTTGGTTGAGATAATGTGTTTAAAATCTCATTATATGTAAATAATGACAGGTTTACTTCCTTTTCTATTTAGATGCCTTTTATTTCATTGTATTGCTTAACTGCTATTGCTAGTACTTCCGATGCTATATTGAATCAGGGTAGTGGGAGTGGGCATCCTTGTCCTGTTCTTGATGTTAGAAAAAAAGCTTTGTTTTTTTTCCATTGAGTGTTATGTTAGCCCATTTTTGGCCTTTATTGTGTTGAAGTGTTTCTTCCATATGCAATTTCCTGAGGGTTTTAACCATTTAAAAAATGTTACATTTTGTCAAATGCTTTTTGCATCTGTTCAGATAGGCGATGTTTATCCTTCATTTTATTCATATACTGTTACATTGATTTGCATATGTAAAACTGTTTGTCATTATAGATATGAATCCCATTTGGTCATGGTGTATAATCCTTTTTATTTGTTCACGAATTTGGTTTGCTGATATTTTGTTGAGAATTCTTATATCTCTATCCATCAGGGATATTGATCTATAGTTTTTTTTATGATATTCTCAAGTGCTGCGCTCAATAAGTTTGGAAGTATTTCCTCTTCCTCAGATTTTTTGAAGAGTTTGAGAAGGATTGGTATTAATTCTTTGTGTGTTTGGTAGACTTCACCAGGAAGCCGCCTCTCCTGGAGTTTTCTGTGGAGGGAGGTTTTTGATTGCTCAATCTCTTTACCCATTTCTAGGCTGTTCAGGTTTTCTATTTTGGGGGGATTCAATATTGTTAGGTTGTGTTTCTAGAATTTTATTCATCTCTTCTAGGTTATCTAATTAGCATATAATTTTTCATAATAGTCTCTTTTGGTCCTATGTATTCTGTAGAATCAATTGTGTCTTTTCATTTCTAATTTTGAGTCTTGCTAGAGACTCATCAACTTTTATCTTTACAATGAATCAGCTTTCCGTTTCATTGATCCTTTGTATTTTTTTTCTGATCCCTATTTCATTCATTTCCACTCTGATCGTTATTTCCTTCCTTCTGCTAACTTTGAGGTTAATTTGTTATTTTTTCTGGTTCCTTGAGATATAAAATTAGATTGTTGAGATCTCTGATTTCTTAAAATATATATATATTTTACTGTTTTTTTACAGAGAGGAAGGGAGCGGGATAGAGAGTTAGAAACATCGATGAGAGAGAAACATCGATCAGCTGCCTCCTGCACACCTCCTACTGGGGATGTGCCCACAACCGAGGTACATGCCCTTGTCCGGAATTGAACCTGGGACCTTTCAGTCTGCAGGCCGACGCTCTATCCACTGAGCCAAAACGGTTAGGGCTCTCTGATTTCTTAATAAATGCATTTATCACTTTTAACTTTGTTTTAGGAACTGCTTTTGCTGAATCCCATTATTTTTTATGTTATTATGGGAAATCAGTGAGATACCCAGGAAATGTTTATCCTTAAACTAAGTACGCCCACTGTTTGATTGTTTTGTTGGTTAGCAAGCAAAGGTACCAGGGGAATTTTCTCTTGCAGTCAAACTTTGAGTGGTCACTTCTTATTGTAGTTAGTGTGCCTGCCTATAAGGGCTTTTTAAATTTTTATTCTCAACTCTTTTTGGCTAATTGAACATCCAAGCTTGTTGAAGCTTTAGTCAGTTTACCCATAATTCTGGGTCAGTAGTTTCTGCATAAAAGTTTACTGGTGCTGATATAGTTTTATTTAGAGGAGGCAAAATATGAAGATTTGTGGCAATGATCTTTTTTTTACCTATCACACTTATTATTCAGTAGAGGTGAAGCTATTTAAAGTATATTTAATTTTTCTCTTTAGTAAATACCTAGAAGTGGAATTTTAGAGTCATAAAGTAAGTAAGTATATGTTTAACTTACAAGAAACTGACAAAATTGTTTTTCGAAAGTGGTTATACCATTTTAAATTTCTACCAGACTGTCTGAGAGTTCAAAGTTCCATGCCATTTTTTATTTTAGGGAATATTCAGTTATTTTGTCTCTTTCTGCCGCATGAGTGGAGTTATGCATTTTTAAAGAACCAGAACACACTTTGCCGATGAACAAGGTGGAAGTCTAAAATCAAACATGACATGAAAAGAAAGATGAAACACGGATTTTATCCTCAGACTTCCAGTAATACTTTTAATGGATGGCCACTTGGCTGACCTTACTATACCACTTCTTTCAGTGTTTCTGCTGCTGCTTGAATTGTAAAGGCTGCAATAGAAATGTGTTTCTTTACTTCTGCCCAGGCTGAACGTGGGTCTGCTTTATTTTCAATATCAAACATAGCATCATAGATCCCAGGAAATGATTCTCCAGCATATTTGTTGTGCCTGCTTGGAGCAAAGATGATGTGCCTATTAGGAAAAAAAAACGTAAGACAGGTTGAGCTGAAAACTATACAAATATATCTTATATGCCTTTTTTAAAATGTTCCCTTTTGTTAGATCACACATTAAGTAATCTTTCTCTCCTGGCATTCACTATTATTCCTCCAAAATGAAGACATATAATTGATTTGAGACACTTATGTAACAGTGTAATTTTAAGCAAAGAAAGGAGCTAAGAGCTGTCTCGTAAATCATATCATGTTACCAACCCATATGGTTGGAATGGACTAGGTTCTTTTAAGTATGTGCATTAGTTGTCTAACTGCCTAGACTGCCACAGTGCTAGAAGGTATGTTTTATGGGTATGTATGTATGTATATATATACATACATACACATATATATATACACATACATACACACACACACACATACATTTTATGGGTATATTTAGTGAGACAGGAGATCGAAAACGGTAATTTATCTTTGTGTTGCCCATTTTAGAGTTTCAACAAGAATGACAGTTGTTCCCAGTACTCTTCAGCCATTAAAAAGCAATACTGAAGAAGCTTGTTATTCCCAAAATATCATAGATGGTAAGGATAATGAAGCCCATTCTACAAAGATAAAACTGTTATATATGGGTTGCCCGCAAAGATAGTTAAGTTCTCATATGAAGGAAAGTTTTGAAATAGATTTCCAACTTCATCTCAGTAGCTCAAGCTACATATTTAATGAAAGTTTCATCAGAAATTCTGTCCAACACTAAAATCTGAGTTTCTTTAAACTATATGAGAATACTGTATGAAAAAATATGGAACTGTATTAAGTCAGTGTTAATGATCAAAGATAAATTTATAAGGTTAATTACTTAGATT